AAAAAGTGGGCAGTCACTGTTGAGCTCTATTTTTGTGGAAAGATGGACCACTTTTCCTGCCAGCTGCTGCTGAGAGCTGGTCCACAGCACACTAAGGGCAACACGCTGTGCTATTTTAGTTTTAAAAAGCCCTCATTCATGTCTTTCTTGAGTGCTTCAATGTCAATTTAGAATGCACAAACAGTACACATGTCTTATTGTACTGAAAACAATATTTTGTTCTTAATATGGCAGGGATGCCAGGAAGGCAGAATGAAGTTGAATTACTGATTCTACGAGTGTCTGTCTTCTACACCAGGCGGCGTGTGTGAAGGCCATCCTCCAGGTGGTTTAATCCCGACACAGCCATCTGAAGTTGGCAGGTATGTACCGTATTTTCCGCACTATAAGGCGCACCGGATTATAAGGCGCACCTTCAATGAATGGCCTATTTTAGAACTGTTTTATATTATAAAGCGCATAGAATAGAAGATACTGCAGTCAAAGTTTGACTGGGGTTGCGTTATGCATCCACTGTATGGAGCTGTGTTAAAGGGAATGTCAACAAAACAGTCAGATAAAGTCAAACTTTATTAAGCGTTCTGACAACTCTGTTCACTCCCATGGTAACGATGTTCAAACGTTAATGTGCATATTCACAATATCTCCCAGCCTTGTTCAGTTGTAAACACGTAAAAGAAACACAGTCTGATACCGCTAATTCAAACGTTAGTGCATAACTCAACATTGTTCAGTTACGTATAACACGTAAAGCTCACTTTTTCAGTTCATTCCCCGTCCACGAATCCCTCGAATCCCTCCTTCTTCAATGTCCGAATTGAACAGTTGGGCGAGTACGGCATCCAACACGCCCGGCTCCCTCTCGTCATTATCCGAGTCAGTGTCGCTGAGCGCCGTGTACAACCAGTATGGATTAACCAATTAACCAATTGATCCATATATAAGGCGCTCCGGATTATAAGGCGCACTGTCGTTTTTTGAGAAAATTAAAGGCTTTTAAGTGCGCCTTATAGTGCGGAAAATACGGTATTCCTTAGACATGTCAACAGGAGGGTCGTTCACTATCAGGGCTCTATTAAACATATCTCAAATCGGCTGGCTACTTGAGTTTACTCTTACTAGTGTGGTAGTAGTACTGGGGTAGTACTCTGATTTGTTCTTGGTCTCGAGAACACTTTTTGAAGGTCTCAGTCTCGTCTCAGAATCAAAAGTATTTTTACTCGGTCTTGTCTCCATCTCGGACTGGGCTGACCCTGGATTTTAAATCAAGACGGGTCAAGATTAACACTGATAGGCTACTCATTACTTGGATTCGAAGGGAAGGCCCCGATCTAAAAGAACAAATACATTTTATTTTTATCCCTCGGAAACGGAAACACAACCTTCCCGGTGTTATGGTGACATGTCTGCTGCACGCGAGGTGAGGATTTGTCAGATGTGTTTGGTCTTTGTCTTGGTCTCACCTTGCCTTGGCCTCGATATCGACTTGGTCTCGACCCCTAAATGTCTCTTTCTTGTCCCGGTCTTGGAGCACTCTGGTCTTAGTCATGTCACAGCCTCAGAGCACTCCGTTCTCATCTTACAACCATAACAAGGCTGTCACTGAAAAACCTAACAAACATTTCTGGTGTTCACAACTTTAATCTATTAAAACCTCCTCTTCCCATCTTTATCAATATCCTTGATCACAAACAGTTATAGGATCAATAATTCCTCCTGCAGCATATGTCAACCTGCAACATGATGAGCCACACAGTGTGGTACAGATAAGTAGCTGCTGTTTGTTTAACTGTATTGGCTCAATACAATAGCGATGTAATTGTAGTAAAATGGGTCACGATGGGAAATATGATGTTATGAAAGCAGTAAAGGCTGAATAAAAAAAGAGACCATCTGCACTGTGTGTTTTTAGCTTGTGACTCTACACCCCCCGAAAGAATATGAGCTTCTCCCTAGAAGTCGCTTTTCAGTACATCACCACTCCATTAGGAAACTAGCAGGCTGTCATGGTTGAGAGAGCAGTGGTTTTAAAGGGGGTGAGAGGAGGCTGTTAGATGAGTGGGACTGACAATGAAGCAGCAGGTAAAAAAAAAAAAAAATTCCCTTTAAATGTATTTTTCTTTAGATTTACCGACAACAAAATGTATGGCACAACCATATTGGACTTACAGAATTACGTGTTACTAGTGCACTGCATTCTCATATTGCTGTACTGCTGGTGTGGGGATGGTGCTGGTTCAGGGTGTTCATTACATTTTAAGTGAATACAAATTTTAATATTTTCAACTTCCTCGGAGCATGCTTTTCTAAAGTACCCTGTTCAAAGTGATTATCTATGTTAGTTATGAATAGGGGTACTGCGAGATATAGCAGTAAAATAAAAGAAGGAAAAGTTAGAGAGAGGGACAGGAGAAATGTAAAGATGGTAAAATGGTAAAAGGACTTCAGCTTGTAGAGCGCTTTTCTAGTCTTCTGACTACTCAAAGCACTTTTACACCGCATGTCACACCCACACATTCACACACTGATGTCGGAGGCTGCTATGTATTGTGACCTTTAGAAGTAACTAATCACATTCATACGCCGCCGCCAAAGCAGCGGGAGCAACTCGGGGTTAAGAGTCTTGTCCACGGACACATCGGACGTGGCTGCAGGAGATGGGAATCGAACCCCCGACCTTCCGGTTAACCTTCTAAACCGGAAGGCGATTGAGCTGAGAAAGACAACAGACATAGAAGTGGAGGGCAAAAATTAACGAAAAAAGATGATGAAGTTGAGAGACTAAGAGAGTAAGCATAAAAGACAGAGAACTAGAAAAAGGGAGAGGACGACTGAAATAACATTTGGAGGGAGATAATGCGTCAAGGAAAAGAGAAAGTTAAGTGAGAGAGTAAGGGAGAAGAAAGTAGGACCATTGTTGAGCTATTGCACAGTTTAATTTGCTCATAGAATTGCTGGATAGAAAATCCACTGATACACACATAAAAGTTTTCCCACTTAACCACTAAATCAATGTTGTGTATCGATATTGAAAAGGGAAACAAAAAGACTTAGAATGAGAATTGATTCTTCCTGTTACTGAGAGCAGCTTCTGTACAACTGTACAGGAACAGGGTGTGTGTGTGTGTGTGTGTGTGTGTGTGTAGAGAGAGAGAGAGAGAGAGAGAGAAAATGTTTGACTGTTTTGCTTTGTTTTAGAGCAGATGTGTCTGTAGGATGAGGAATGGATGTTGCAGAGGTAAAGAGGAGAGGGATCATGCGATGACTTTATGTGTATTGTAGTCAGTAAAGGTTCATTGCATATGCATACGTATCCGCAAAGAGACGAGATGGATGGCTTCAACTACAGATATTATTTAAGCTAATGATACACTTCAAGGGGCCATTTCCCAGCCACGATCAGTCTCCATCCCTTTGATTTTTTTTTTTCTTTTCCTGAGGAGTACTAGAGCTGAAAAGTGGAGTGAAGTATGGCACCGGGAATGTGTGTGTGTGTGTGTGTGTGGGTATTGTAAGTGTGTGTGTAGTAATGTATGTGCATGAGAAAGAGAATGTGAAAGCATGAAAAAAAAAAAGACTGAATGTCCATTTAACTACCTCTGCCACTATCTGACCTTCTTCTGGTTTAGATAGCAATAATGTCATAGCCAGAGTGTCACTGCAGTGGTGAAAGAGAGCGTGGGTATCTATTCCCCCACTCAAGAGAAAAATGTGCTGCAGTATATTGTATATGTGAGATGAAATGAGGCTTTAAAATCGAGGTTTATTACTCATGACTGGGACAAGAGGGGGGGTGTGAGGTAAACTTGTCAGTACTCTAATGATAGTTATCTGATCGCTGCTCGTTTCAATGAAATATTCTCTATTTACAGGACTTCATCATCATCATCATATGAACACATGCTTTGAAGAAAGGAATGCTGGAGGGGAGGGCGACAGAGACATGATGTCAATTCTCCCTACGTGTCAGTAGAAGTTACAATTGAATGAAAAATGTGAACGGTAGAACATTTTTCATGTCCAACATTAAAATTGATGTTAAGCTTTCATTTATTCTGTAAATCACTGCTGACTGTTCAACGTAGCACATTTCATATAATTATAGTTTGGTCCTTCCTGTGTAGTGTGCTGATTGCTGGCTGTATGTATTTTACTGCTGACTGCAAAACAAACTGCACTCTCACAGGGATAATAAAGACAACCTTGAATGGTAAATGGACTTGAGCTTGTATAGTTCAAAGAGTTTTACACTGCATGTCACGCCTACACATTTACACCCATTCACACACTGATGGAAGCGGTTGAAGAGGTTTCTGTGTAAAAAAGTCCATCAGAAGTAACTAATCCCATTCATACACATTCATATGCCACCGACGAAGCACCGGGGGCAACCAGGAATTAAGTGTCTTGCCCAAGGAGTCAAGGACACATCGGACACGTTGCTCCAGGAGCTTGAGAGACTACCCACTCTACCAACTGAGCCACAGCCACCCCCTATTCCACTTACCTGTGATTTGTACATAGCTTATTATTCTTCGATACTCTCCCTTGGTACTTATTACTTATTTTACATGTTTATGTCTATTTTATTTGTATATTATATATATTTCTATATGTCCTACTACTATATTGTGTTTAAGAGCCACTGTAACAACCAACTTTTCCCCTGGGATTACTAAAGTATTTCTGATTCTGATAATTTACTTTAAATGTATAAATCATTTTATTATTCATTCAAAAAGCACTGTTGTGTTGATGGCTTATTGTTCAGTCCTCTAATAGGTAAACCTATACCAAGACTGCTACACAAGAGAAAAATAGGGCGACCCCCAAAAAGCTAATGGTTCAAATCATAAGTCGGGAGAAAAAAAAAAAAATGCTAAAACATCTGCAGTTCCTCTAAGCTAACACATTAAAAAGGGGGTGCCCGATGAGCTGCCCCAAGTTTGTTGGAAAATGTCAAGTTGTTATCCCCTAAAAGATAAAGGTGAGTCTGTTACCTGGTCGCAGGGAGGGTGCTGACTCTGGTGAAGAAAACAGACGGCTCTATGTCCACATGGACTCCCAAAGACAGCTCCCTGTAGTAGCCCTCCACTTTTCCTGCTCCACCCGAGTACTTGAAGTTCAGGACTGCTTCCAAAGTCTGTAAAGAGATTAAGGGAATGATATACATTTAGATCAAGCTGGTTTTACTTTGCCCAAAAATTGAAAGTCCCATCTTGCAAAAAAAAAAAATAAGAACAAATTGTGATTCCCTGAAAAACAGCTGCACAGATACATGCAGTAAGTGTGATTAGCCATTCTGTCACCAAAATTGTGTTTTTTTTTTAGGGCTGATGCATCAACAAAGCATTGTGGCAGTAAATAATTGCACAAAAGAACAACTATTGTGCTATTTAATGAAATGGAATTCAAATCATGAAAAAGCCTGAGAAGGAAAGTATGATTAGTCGCTGTGGGTGGGTGGGGCAACAGTTGGCGTGACTTGTTGGCCGTGTTCCACATGATGAGAGGAAAGTGGACACAAAAAATTACTCAGAGATATTCTTTGGAGGGGGGGGGGGGGGGCAGGACAAGCAGCCAAGTGGGCGAAAGATGGGGAAATTAAAAGTGGCAGTTTATTGTGAAGGAGCACTAGCTGACTCAGGCAATGGGCTGAAACGGGTGGAGGGATCACCCAAGGTCTCGCTTTCCATCCTATGCAGTCTATATCATCTCTCCACATATTGCTGATGGAGGCACTGGCTGTGCCTTTCAAGAACAAATTTCACTGTTTCCTTGATTATTTTCAGTCTTTATACCCTCTTGTGGGCGTGCAGAGCGCCAACTGAAATGATTTGGCGCCTGCTGGCTCAACGTCTGGCCTATTACTACCTAATGACAGAAGCACAGTGCACTGAATAAAGAGAGATGAAAACATTAGAGGGGATTATTATTATTTTAGACCAAGAACCCAAATTCAGAAATTTCACTTATCAAGAACAGCATGGGTTTCATTTCAATTCCTTGGTATAATTTCAAGTCAATCGTATTATTTTCCTCTCACTTAGAGTATTATTATGTCATTTATTCCAAGAAAAGCTAGTAGCAGGCACTATGAATGGCAATGTTGGTGAGTCCAGGCAAGTTGATTGTAGCTGTGGAAACCTGTACATCTGTGCACTTTAAGGTGAAGCATTTATTATTCTGTAGTTCAATTGTATAATGACAACACAGGCATTCTGTCTTCAAGACTGAAATACAATTACAATATATCAATGATCAGACAGAGCGCCATGGACAATGCTGATACAAAGAGGATTACTTAATAAATACAGAAACCCCTAGCATTTCATGAAGTGCAAAGTGAAGATCAAATCTTTCACATTTCCAATGAGATATCTCAACATTTACTAGATGTGTAGGAAAAAAGTATTGTACAAACATTCAAGATAACTGGAGGATGAATCCGAAAACCGGTAATCGATGGTCCACCATGGGATTCACATTTGTGGTTTTGACTGAAATGTCTTGACAAAATGGATTTTCCTTGAAATGTTGCACAGACGTTTATGTCTGCCCAGGACATGGTGATCTCCTTGGTTTTCATGTTGCTAAGACATGAAAAAAAAGACCTAAAAATGACCGAAGAGGCACATCTAAGGCATTTGCGCCATGTATCACAAAAGGATTGCACGACTTTGCGTTTACTCAACCTTTGCGTCGTGGTCAGAGAAACACCTTTTACTTACAAAACACAAGCGAAGAGTTAAATGCACCCTCAACTGCACTGCAGAGCAAACACTGCCTGGTGCTGTTCGTTCGGATTTAAACAAACCAATATTTATTAGATTGCGCAGAAACTGGACGCAGTATTTTTATGCATATCAGCCTCATTGCATTAAAAATGTCTAATGTAAAAAGGATGGTGCTTATAGCCACACAGAGTGGAAAACAATTATGTCTGCTGAGAGTTGGTGGCGAATGTGCGACATTATTTATAAGACGAGTCACACCCAACTTGCCAGTGATCAGGACAATGTTTCCCTCTCTATGACTTATAAATAAATAATCTGTAAGTACGGTCTGTAAATATTACTTTGACATTACTATTATAAATATAAACCAAGAATTAAATCAGCTCGGGTCTCTCAGCGACATTTACATGAGCGGTGAAGGTTTTGAGCTGGTACGCATTAGGAGGATGCAAGTGTTGTATTTTTCTTGGAGTTGCCCTGGCTTGCTCCTTTCAGGGAGGAAGCTTTGTTTAAACATGGACACATTTTCATGCAATGACATTGATTTGGCTATTGGTCTCATTTTAATTGATTCAGAGAAATCATTCCTTGAGCACACAGGCAGGGCCTTTTCCATTAAAATTGTTGTTTTTGTAATAATGTTTTCTTGACTTATTATTTTCCTCCTGCATGTTGACAGATGAGGCAAATGTAGTTTCACCTTTTAATAATCACAAATGAATCCATTGAAAAACCAAAAACAAAACAATGACTGTACCACACTAACACGAATCGTCTGTGTTACTACAGTCTGGTATTGCAACAGAATAAGATTCCAGTAGTTGTGCGTCAAGCAGCTGTGTAATCCTGGGGCTGCCTGTGTGGTACTAATGGCCTCAACATGATCCTCTTGAGGAACAGTGATTGTTTCAGTGACCCTAGCAAAGAAGCAGCGGTGCACCCACGATTCCCTTTTCAAACTGGGCCTGACCCCGAGTTCCTCATCTGTTCAATCCTCCCCCTCCTTCTGCTCTCAGCCCCTTGAGGACCCTATTTCAATCACACTGTGGTTAAAAATAGATCCTGCTGTAATGAGCTGACTGTGTTAGGAGTACGCCAGACGCAAGCCACTGCCTGAGCGCACACAGGTCTTATTTTCACATTAATACAAACAACGTGATGAGTGAGAATGACCAGATTGAGGTAACAATTTAATTTGAGTGCCAAACATAACTGCACGAGCTGTTGTGCTCAAGTCAATGTCCTGTAGCTTTTAACCAACAAGCAAACATGATAAAGAAAGACAAGAGAAAATGGAGAGACATAGCACCACCATTTTGACCAATGACGAATAACTTGTGATATTTGCTGAAATAACTTTCTGACTCAAATAGGCAGATATGCTTCTCTGCCATGCTGCTGCAACTCTACTGTACAGTTACAAACTGGGAAAGATGGAATCGTGAACATAGTCACAGATTTCACCAGCAGATATAAGGTTGTCTCAGCAAAGACTAGTTATGAAGTGAACTGGAAAATAAGGCTTTTTAATGCTTATATATTGACCTTTACATTTGTAAGTTAATGATGGGGCATTTCTTCTGTTCAAAGTTGCATGTTCGTCTTCCTTTGAGTTGAGTTTTCCAACTATTTGCAGACTTGCTTCTTTTTAACAAAAATAAATTAAAAGATAACAATCGGATCAAAAGATTGAATTGTATACGCAAAGTTGAAAAGTTTCCTCTCGTAGTTGATTTTTTTTTTTTGGTGCATAAAAACCCATTCATTGACTGATTGGGTTAAATACGATAATTATATAATTTATGCAGATCCAAATCACAAATCCGTCTCAAAGTCTTTACAATCCATAAAAACTAAAATATTTTTTAGTCCGCATTCATTTAACAAACAGGTGAACATTGGACTTTGGAACCAGAGGCACTGTAGCATTCCCTTTCCACTGAGTAAACTACCACTTGGTGGTGCGTCTTCTATGCAGGTCACATGGGAATGGACAATCCTTTAATACTGCCTGACCTCCATCTATTACGGGTCAAAGGCTTAAACGAAAAGGGGTCTTAAAGGATGATGTTCCTGCTAATACAGTGTCCTTGAGAAAACTAGCCGTTTTCACATGAAGTCATTAAACCAAAAAGGTGAAAGGCACGTTTTCTGAAGCCATGACGCATTACCCTTTTAGACTATTGATGGATTATTGATGGATTATTGATGGATTATTCATCAATCATTTGGTGTTGTGTTGTTGTGCTAGTTACCATCTTTCTTATTCATTTTTACTGAGCATGTAACCCAAAGTAAATCCTTCACGATTGTCCTGCATAATTTCCTAAACTGCCACTGGCTGCGTGTTGTTTTATCCTTAGAAATACTTCTGTAATCTACTTTAGCTGCCGAGCATTAGAGGCATGAGATGGATGATGGACTGGCTTTTACCTTAAATGCCATCACCCCACTTTTGTGTCATAACAAAGAAGCTCTAACAGACTATCTATCATATCCATCTTTATCCAAAGTAGCCTTTTCTGGACAATAGGGTGAATTCAAAAAACACAATATTCCTTGTCTTGCACTTGAAGCTTGAACAAAAAAGAGAAAGAGGGATGCTGAAGGCTTTTTGAATGTCTTGGCCCTGAGATAAAGATCCTGACAAGTCTTGCTGAAGAGATTATAGCATGGCCACTTGTGTCCTGACAGGAATACTAAGATAAAACATCCCAGTGAAAGGTTAGCTGTTCAGAGGCTAGAGACTCAAAAGTTGCTTAGTTTTGTGTCTGCCCTTTCTTGGCACGGGAAATATGACTACCTAAGGTGTTTCATTTTAAGAATATGCTTAATAGGAAATTCACTTAAAGGCTATCATATTAGAAATAACATGACAGGATCAATAGCAATTTAATCAAAGTACAATCAATTCAAAAGCAGCTCCTAAACAGCTTAGCATAGCACAATTACCTTAAGGATCCAAGAAATGTCTACTTAACGGAGACATGCATGTGCTTTTTGGATGATTTTCAGAAACTTGTCATTTGTGAACTGTCAGGGCTTTTAAATCAGGGTCTTCATGTGTCACTATGTTTTACTCTGTAGCATTATACCATCAGATTTAATGATGGTTGTATCAACCTCCCCACCAGGGTCAGCCACAGAAATCCCAACTAGTGTCAGTTAGTTGATGTTTAGGGCTTTAAAATGATTTCCTTAGTTCTTAGAGGCCTTTTGCATATTCAAAGTACTGAAAACAATAATCAATGGAGCAGGAGACAACTGGTGCTCATTTACCTTATAAACAACACACACATTAATCCATTTTACCCCAAATAATAAAGACCCAACCCATGGCAAGTCCAAAACAAGAGAGACCCAAAACCAGAGACAGGTCTGGTACTTAAACTGAACAGAAAACCTG